CACGTCGAGGTTGGAATCCTCCATCAAAGACGTCCTCGATGATTATGAAAGATGGTGTGGTAAGGTGACTACATTTCACCCTTTGGTCTTCGGTGGTCAGTACCCGGTGCAGGGTGTCAAGGATCAGATGAAGGCTGGAAAGAATCTGCCGGATCTCAAGGTGCTCGAGACAATGTATGTCACTCGGCGGCCGAATTTCCGGGCAAATCGCAACAGCATCAGCCCTACGGAAATGCTGCCGAACTACAACCGGCCAAGATTCGACTTTAGAGCCTGTGATCCAACGAAAGAGGGCTATGGCAAAACGCAATGGCTTGTAGTGGAGGGGATTCAAATGCCCGAAGGACACTGTCCTACTTGTGAACTCCACTTCACTTTTGGCTCGATGTGTTGCGGCAAGTGCGGTACTTTCTTGAACACCGCGTCGGACCTTTGCAAGGCTGCCCAGGTCAATCGGATGGAAGAGATCGCCTCTGAAATGGGTGTTGAACTCTCACTCGATATGGTCCAGGAAGATCGGCTACAAGGAACCGGCATTCGCAACACGCCTGCGGGGACGCATGGCCATGATCCACGAGCTAATCGATCAGGTATCAACATCCTGAAGACCAATGCTCGAAGCCATGTGAACAAAGCAGACAAGATGGGCATGACCATTTCGAAGAGGCAGTTGACAGATCCTCTGTACGCCTTTAACTGCGCGGCACAAGATCTATCACCACTCTGCATCAGCTTCTTGGAGAAATTGGCAAATGCGGTCATTCCAGACCCACCAAGAACGCATCAGATGATAATGCAAGGTGTTGGCCATCGCTATGCTGGGAAGTTGATTTACATCAACGATCCTGAGAAGGTGGGAGAAGCGGACATGAGCGAGGATTTCCTGGTGTATTGGAAGAACAGGCTCTACCGCCCTGAGGTCTTTGCGGCAAGTTATGCCCAGAATGCAAAGCGCCCGCCAATATTGGGATTCCACTCTGAGTGGAAGACTGATGAAAAGGATCCAGATGAGCTTCTCCAGCTTCTGCTCGACTTCATCGCTGAGGACATGGCCTTCATTCCGAATGTCGACTTGCAACTTGGCAAGGAGACTAGGACCATGGTTGTCCCTCGAGCGAAAGCAGAGTCCACATCAGCCAAAGCCCTTGCGAGGGCTACACAGGACCGGCGCGTGCTCACGAAGATTGGTACCAGTCCCAATGGTCATCCGCTTCCTCATCATGGAATCGCGGCCGTGACTGGAACCAAGGATGGTGGCAAGATCGATCAAGCCAATGGCAGCGTGACGATCGCTGGAACCGCGACTGGTGGAGCTCAAGCAACTGGTAGGAACATTCGCACGACGGGAGTCGTTGCCTTTGGATTCAAAATCGAAAACCCAAACAAAAAGGAAACATCCAATAGGCAGCATGGCTCTCAACCGTGAGGCTGTTCTTCCTCCATCGCACCGCGGGAGCGGTTGCCCTTGATGATCGCTTCTGTGTTGCACCGGGGGACCGGATGCCGAACTTCGCTTTTGCGCCAGCAAGGTTTAATTCGAATGATGAAGGTCGAAGTACCTGTCACATTGCAAGTCCGAGAGACGCGCATACTTTTGTAGTGCTGATTCGCCATGCGGGAGCGTGTGCCGACCGGTGATACTCCTGCTTTCTGAAAGGCCAATCGTGCACTTTCCGCCAAATGCGTCAAAAGCTTGTGCTGTTTCTTCTTGAGCTGACTTCGAAACATGTATAGCTTGGCAGTACGAGTGAATACTAGCATGAACCTATCAGTGATTTCTCTGCCCTTGAGGTCAACTATCCTCTCCATCTCAAAGGCAGGAGCCGGTTTCGTCCGAATCGCACGTACCGGGGGACCGGTTGCCGTCGTAGGTCCCAAATTCACTGTACATAGTCTTCACTCCTCCCATTTTCGTTCAGCGGGGGGTGTTGTTTCACGCTAGCATAGTGTTATCTATGTCTCACTCGTGCTACTTTGGCTCAAGGCAAAACAGGTGCGACTAGGTGGCGCTTATCGGTCGTTTTCCTGTAACAACAATATATATATATATATATAGTAACAAGTGCCACGCTAGTAGTAACAAATATATCTTTATATATACTGTATATATGGTACCTGGCACTGACCCCGAACGATCCCCAAAAGACGACAAGCCCGAACGCGTTCGTGCGACGTGAAACGCTGAGGCACATGCTGACGCGCGCCCGAGCCAAAGGATATACAACAGCTATTGCCAGCTGCTACCCGCAACTGAGCGGCAAGAACTGGCTGGAGTGATCGATCCAAACGAGCGCAAGCGTGATGGGCGACAGTTCTTGGGCTTTGACGGCAAGACAAACATGATATCATATGATATCATAATTTTTCAGGTGATTGTCCTTTTCTAGAAGCTCTTTATAGTTGTTCCTTGATTTCTCCCGACCTCGATTGGCTCGTTGGGATTGGCGTCGAAACCATGTGCAGGTCCGAGTCCCGGTCCCACCCATCCGTCGCCGACGTGTCACGACGTGTCACGGCGTCGTGACGTCATGTAGACTCTTGAGGAATAAAGTCGACATGTTTTTGATAACTCTGGAGAGTTGATGAATCAAGAGTCTACATGTGTTTAGATGTTAGACTAAAAGAGGGTCCCTTTCGCAAGAAGAGGCTCCCACATGTCCCAGCAAGATGGCCCTCCGTCCATTGTTTTTGGCTCAACTCGCCCACAAACCTTGAGAAACTGATGGAAGTTCTTTGTACCGAGAATGATCGACATATCTCGCTTAGGGCCTGCAAGTAGATGGGGTTCAAGGGTTTGTTGTCCAAAAACACATCCTGAAACACCCTGTGTTCGGTGCATCGCGCAACACCGGCCGCCAAGCTAAGGCACGACGTAGCAGCCGTCACACGCTTCTTCAACAGCTTCTATTTGAGGCGCTTCAGGTATCATCAAGTATCCATAATCTGCAACACAAATTGGCTTTGGGACAAAACCACTGCAGTGAACGTGCAGCAGAATAGGAGCCTTGCTGTTGGTGTGAAGAGTTGCAGGGTTCTTGTTCAGGAGATGTGGATTGTCACCATGGAAAATCCATCCAGCTAGTGAAAAAATCTGTGAGTCTCCATCAAGGCTGGTTACAACTTGCAGCATCTCGGATTGTCCAAGCTTCTGCCAGATCTGAGCTGCCTCACATCCCAGTGGATCCACGTTTTCACGTAAGCACATGTCTTGATAGGTGCCGCGTGCGACCGGGCGCCATCATCGTGGTGCACGACCGCTGGCACACTGCAGAGACGCTGCGGAAGGCCCTGCCGCGGATTTTGAAGTCAGGCAGATTGGACCGCGAGCTTCGTCCGTCGACGCGAGGCGTCCACGCTAGGCGTTCGCCGTGGTTCTGGGAGGATGTTTGGGAGGAGACGGGAGACGGGACCGTGATGATAGCGTGTGGAGCGTACGGAGGGTGGATGAGTTTGTGTGTGCGAAGGATGGGTCTACAAGGGAGTTGGAGCTTAAGCTCACGACTGAAAGCCCAACACAGGGATCTAAATGCTGCATGTTATGTTGTCCAATCATTTGCAAAGTTGTGAAGTTGCAGCAAAAGTGGAAGAGGGAGGCTGGTTGTAGCATCAGAGTGTCCAAGTGGTGTTAAATCATGTGAAATCCCTTAGATACATAAGGGGGACATCCTTTACGACAAACCTTTGCTGTCTTCCCTCACCAGTCTTTTTCCTTCGGGAAGAAGTGCATTGATTCAGGATGAAGAAAAAATTGTCCATCGCCCAGACGCTCCAAACAACCTTTGGTCCCTCCAAAGCGATCGGGATGGGTTCGACCCCAGACCCCTGACCCGAGGATTCGGGTCTACTATTTACGTCCGTTCTTGCTACTAGTAGCATTCTTGTTACTACAGGTGAAACGATTCCCAGTGAAACGCTTCCCAAGGAAGCTTCTAGCTTCTTGTTCCTAATTTATCGTGACCTAAACGTTTCCAGGATGCAACTTGTCTATCTTTTTGAGGAATGACATGTAGGCTGGCTAGTTCCAACGGCCGATTAAAGCGTTAAAAAGAGGGGGATGACATGGGATGACTATACATCCATAGATTGGGTCTGTCCTATTACCTGTAACAGTCAGTAAACAAGTCTCACTATTACAGAGAAAGGCCTTTACCAACCATCATCATCCACTGAGGCCCTGGAAATAGGATAGACCCAATCCAGACCTCATTGGAAGAGGTCTCTAACCCTGAAGTCGGACCCACCAGGGTTTTTGGAAGGGAATGGACAGCTAAAACGGGAAATGACAGGCACACATTGAACGCACCCTGTTTTGTTTTGGATAAGAAGATGCAGGAAGAGGATCTGATATTCTTGTCCTTGAGAAAGCAGGGAGGGCACTTGACAGCAGAAAGCAGCTTCTGGAAGGAATACAGAAGGTAAGACCCAACACAAACAAGTCAAACAATTCACAAACGGATGCAAAGTGTTCCGTGAAGACGTCTCCCGCGTCGGTCATCGCTTCGCCAGGGATGCGTTTGGGCACGCTCAGCGAGCTGGAAGCGGCCTACGAGGGCGAGATGGGCAAGAGCCAGTGAAAATCCAAAAGGGACGCGACACGACCGACCCGCGCGCGAAGAAGGAGCGACCCTGCAGCGACCAGACCGACCTCCGCTCTGGAGAGCAGCGACCGACCGACCGACCCCGCTCTGGAGAGTGCTGGGAATTCGGGGGTTTCGGTGAGGTCTCGAGGCAAAGATCAGAGATGAGTCTCTTTTGTGAGTCATATGAGTGGAAGACATGGTTGGTTTTCCCATTTTACACACTCATCTGACAGGTGATGGTGTTTTGTTCCTCTGATTGGTTCTGCCAAATGGGTTGAAGATGCTTGAAAGGTCTCTATATTCCTTCTTCATCCCGGAATTACCACCGGCCGCTTCACTGGATTTATGATTGTTTAACTAAAGATCAGAAGCAGTAGCTTTGGGGAAGAAACCAAAACACGGGGGTCGCATTCTGCTGGACGGTCCTGCTTTCTCTGCTGCTACCCGTTATCCCTTAACATGGATTAGTACCACCAACAAGGGTGAGCCACCGCGTACTCGGATGGTCATCCGCAAATGACATAGTTGCAATATGTGCCAAGTTGCTTTGGGCCTCTTGAAATACCTCAAGATCTGTCTTCAAGACATTGACCCCAGCACCTCAAATGACTTGTAGCGCTGTCCCTTTTTTGCAACAGGTAGAGGAAGAGGCGCGTCGACATGGTGCGATCTTGAGATGAAAGTTTGAAAAAGGAAACTCTTCCAGCCACTGTGCACGTCTAGTCGGTGGCTAGATTTGGACTCTTACTGCTAGGACATCTTTGTTGCTTTGGGCTTTTTGCCAGCTTGGTTGGTGCTTGTTGTCTGGTGTTTAGGGTGACAGGAACCTTTGACAGGAACCCAGTCAGGTGCTCTTTTTTCAATGGGCAGGTGGTCGGTTGTTGAATGGTGGAGTCCTTTGAGACATGTTGCGTCCAGGCAAGGACTAGTCTAGTTGCATTCATGTTGCATCTCTTGGACTGTTTCATGAGCAAGGCCAGCAAAATGGTCAACAACCCCACTGACAATGGCTGCGAAGTATGTGTGAGCGTGCCTGTGTGTCCGACTGGGCCAGGTGGAGAACAGCCGAGTTGCAGCGCGGAGACAGTGCTTTTGGCATCATAGCGAGCGCGGAGGAGGGGCAGGAAAAAAGAATCTGGTTGTGTTTCATGGCCTGGTTAAGTTGTGCCTTTGACAAATGAACAAACGGTATGTGACACTGCCAGCACAACCTCTTCCAGAAGAAACTGCGTCTTTTGAGCATGGCAAATGTCAGGAAAAGACCAACAATGTGGCCTTGGTTTTCAGCTGGTTGATTTTAGGGAGACCGGGATCATGTGAGGAATTAACCCGTTTGAACCTGTGAAGTGAAGAAGATACCCAAAATCGAGCTGGATGTTTGGATTGCGTGTCTTGCAGGGGGCTCGCAGCACTCCTTGAACATGGATGTGTTGTGCTTCCTGGAGGTCTTTTTTCGACCTATCTGAGGATTTTGGGGAAGTTTCGGCCCGTTGTGCAACCCAAAGCCAGAATGGCCATGTGAAAGATCCCGCTTGGCCACTTTAATCTTCGTTGCCCTTTCTTCCAGAAGAAGGACATTTCCCATCATTTCCCTATTCACCCAATGTCACCAACCAGTGTTTCAGCATAGTGACCAGTCTTTCAGCCAAGGACACCCGGATCTTCCGGTCTTCGCTCTAAGGATCTTCCGCTTCCAGAGCTCCTTGCTGAGTGTGGCCGAGTTCGTCGGGGGCCACAGCACCACGTCGGACGACGGTTCGCACCCTGGACTTCCATGGAACCCCTGGGACTTTTCCAGAACTTCACGGGATTTTGAGATGCAAAAGGAGGTACTTTGGTCTTGGGGTTGTGGGAAGTAGAGATGCTTTCCTTTTTGAAAGGATGTGTCAACATCGTCCAGCAGGGTGTTGAATACATATTTACACCGTCATATACCACCGATGTTGGTTCCGCTGCAGCTGATGTTGAATGAAGAAGGTATCAGGGCTCTTTGGTGTGGGCGTTGGCCAGAGACCAGACCAACCATTGTGGAGATCAAGTTTTGGAGAAACCGGAGGAACCATGTATGGGCAAACTGATGGTTGAAGTCAAGTTTCGGAGATATCACTCATCAATCCAGGCGTGTGCCAGTTCCGAGCAGACAGGGAGCTGCTTTGGGTCGAAGTGCCAGGACACCTCCGTTGGCCCGTCGTTTTCACAACGCCTCGTTTTCACCGCCACCGGTTTCAGGGTGATGTGTTCCACACGCCTGGCACGATGTACCTTTCAACGTCCGATGTGCCAGCGACCGATCACCTGCCTCTGGTGACATGGTGGGCAGGACATGGTAAGCCACCATCAAGGTTCTTTGATCAAACGCACTTGATTGAGGAAAAACACTTTGCCCAAGGGACACCCCTGCCCTGATTGGATGTGTATGTGTGTTCCTTGTTGCATCCTCAACACTTGGCTGGAAATTACCGTGGCTCCGTCGTGATTGGTTGAGGATGACATCAATCTCCGGTGGGAAATGATATCAATGTTTTAAGATGTGAGCAGGTAGATGTGCAAAATGAACCCCAAAGCGTTGCCTGTTTCTGATGGGTGGATGCTGTTGTAATTGTACGCAGTACGAAAGTATGGTTTGCTCAGGGCTGGATTGATGGTGCAGACCCATAAATTATGTATGGCCTTTTTATGAAACACACACGAGGGAACACCTGCGACAGTAGTGAAGAACACTTTGCAACACGTTGCAACGAGCTTCAAGATTCAGGACGGCAGAAGGGAGGCTTCTTCTATCCCTGGCATCCATCTTGAAGGTTTGGGCTCAAATTCCAGAATCTGCTCCTGCAATGATGAATCTTGAACGGCCTGGAATTGTACTTAGAGTATTTCTCTTGTTCAAGGTGAGTGAGTTTTGAAAAAGACTCAAGATCCGCTTCTTGAGGCAAGGCAGTCAGTGTCAGGTTTTTTGCAACGAAGGGCATATGCAATGTGAATTCTAACTTAAGTGTCACCCGTACAAGTTTATGCGTAGAAAAGAAACGGTCCAAAGGAGGTTGTTTGCTCAAGTACTCTTACTTGAACTTGGTAATTGAATCCTTGCGCCGACAAAGAGGAGGAAGAAGACCTCCTTCATGACTTTATGAAAGACGCAAATTGAACAAAGGAGACCAGCGTAAATGAAGAAGCACATTATGTGTAGAATGGAGATATCAGAGGAAACCACATGCATAACATGAACTATGTAAAGAAAAGAAGATGTGTGCGTGTAACTAAGGAGGTTGCTTTTGCAAGGATGCGGTGCAAATCAAGATAGGACTCTTGTTTCATGAGGAAAAAGAACTTATGGACGATTAGAAGAGACTTTTCAGCAAATGAGATGTTGGTCAAGAACTAACAGCTCAGTGAATGTGAAAGGAGTAGACTCGATCTATCTCAAGAACAAGCGCCTATTTGTTCCGATATCAATTGCAACAGGGCGCTCTCCTGAATGACATGAATGGCTTGCATGATAATGCATATCTGTTGGATATGGTAGACGTGAAAAGGAGAGTTTATGAAATCCCAGCGCCCTGAATCCCAGCGCTGCTTTTGCACAAAATGGGCTTCTCCAACATGATCTTGACTGTTCACCCAAGCCGCTTCGAGAATCGAGGAGGAGGCAACAGCCTGAGAATTGTTGGAAGTCGTTGCACACTTTGGAAACTCTAGGAAGACCAAAGTTATGTGATGGAATGCAGACACTTTTACGATTTGAAACCGAGCACACAGTTCATAGATTTTTGCATACTTGACACTATATCAATCTTATAAATAGCACAACTCTTTGGCAAAAGAACAATATTTGGACGAAGTAGTTTTACAGACAATGAAGATACACAGTAAAAATATAACAGAAGTTGTTCTCTGAGAGACACGCGAAAGGTAGACTTTTCAAGCGGAGGGCGGAGGTAGCATGTGTATGCAATATATCAAGTGGGAAATATCAGGGTATTAGGAATTGAGGTGGTGAATGAAGTCAGAATTAGTCCTATGGCTTGTTGCGCTGGCCTCGGCCTGTTTCCTACTTGCATTCGGAGTCTCCGACACCGTCGCACCGAAGGAAAAACGATCGTCACATGGAAGTCGCCGAACGGACCGTCGTCGGACCGTCGTCGGACATCAAAAGACGGTCGTCCTGGGTGCACTTGTTTCTAATAGCTTCTTGCTCCTAGTAGTAGGGCCAGGAGCCTCTAGTAGCTTCTTGTTACTACTAGTAAGGCACCTGTTACTAGTAGCGATGCACCTTGTTCCTAGTAGCTTCTTGTTTCTAATAGCTTCTTGTTACTACTAGTAAGGCACCTGTTACTACTAGCGATGCACCTTGTTTCTACTAGCGTCCTTGTTACTACTAGTAAGGCACGTCACCCGGTGAAAACCCCCCAAACCGCTGGGCTCCGGTCGAGTCGAGTGATCGTCGATCCCAGACTGGCAGTGGTCGCCTGCAACAGGCGAGGTCGGTGAGGAAATCGGATGTAGCCAAACAGAGAGAATGTGCAGAAACGGGAAACTCCCTGACCTCTGTGGCGTCGACGAGGTCAGGTCAAAGACTTTTAGGAGGTCCTTTACTGTAGTGCAGGGAGGCGTTTGCAGGGTCAAGGTGAGAAGGTTCAGGGGGTAGACACCAGTCCAAGAACACCACAGTCCTGAGTCCTGGGGCAGTTGGAGTTTCATATGACGGTAAGATACCAGATCATATGCAATGCTGCAATGGTATTATGGATTTTATCTCAAAGATACGAAGAAAAAGAGACGACTGCTGATTTGTGCTCTTGTGCTTTTTTTGGCATCAAGTGCTTTCGTCCATCTACAGAGGGGGTGAAATATGTTTGTGTCTTTTCCTGTCACCAGACAATGTTGTCCTCAGATGTTTCTTGTTGCAACCATGGCGGGGGTCTTTCATTCTGCCTCATCCTCAGTTGGTTTGCTTAGATGTGGTCATGCCTTTCATGCGCATTGTTTCGCGATGTCTACCGTGATCGTCTCGATGATCCATGTGGTCCTCAGGTCTTATCGGCCACGTCCCTAGTGATCGGGGGCGGAGAGGGGTGAATCTGCGAGCGCCAGGGACGTTTTGAAAGCGGAGGGACCCGCTTTCCGAGATCTCGTGATGACCTTGGTCCCGTTTTACAATGGGTTGTGTCACCCCCCCCATTTGTGAGTGATTTGTGGCAAAGATGGGGTTATAGAGCTTCCTGGAGCTCAACCCCACTGAAGGTGCCCAGACGGCTGTCTTAAAAAGGGGTTGGTCGAATTTCCCTCCGGGACACCTCCGACTTCGAGGGAAGATCGTGTTTTTTCTCGATTCCAAGCGACGGAGAGAAAGATCTTCAATCCAAACCGACTGTTTTTGAGACCGAAAAATGTTGAGAGACCGGGACCTCGGGCTGTTTCGGAGTGTTTGGGTGTGTGTCCTCGTTTGGCTTTGCTCTCGCCGTGGGGTGCACCCGGAACGATGCGATGCCACCGGAACGACGAAGCTCGGAGCCGCTCAAGCTGGTCCCATCACCAGACGTTCGGAAGAAACGAGAGGCCATCGGAAAAAGAAAAAAAAAAAGCCCTGGCAGGGCATGGTCGCTCCCCTGCGGTGAAGGTTTGGACGTTTGGACGTCACGAGTGCAGACGTCACTCGGTGCAGGCGTCACGAGTCGTCACGGTCCCGCGAAGACGACTCTTCTCTTCGATTCAGAAGTTCTCGGCCAGAGCTCGGCGCAGTGCCCGTTGCGCGTGCTGCGGCTCCTGTGTTCGGAAAGCCTTCCGGTTCACGTGCATGCGGCGGTGTTTCAGGTGCCACCGGTCAGTGCCTTGGCGTGTCTCTACGACCCGCGTGGGGACTCAGGTTTTTCTGGCTGTGAAGATGTTGGACTGCGGTTTTCTTGGCGAACTCTTTTTGGCGAAGAGTCACATGTCGATCATGTTGATTTCTAATGGAGTGTGGACATTTCTTAGAGTCAAATGTTGTTCTAACTATAGAAGAGTGTGGACATGTTTTAGTGAATTCTCTTTGTTGGAAGAGTCCTCCCTTCGACCTCTTTGGTTCCCACAAAAGAAGTTGTTCAATAAAAGGTTGCATATAACTTATCTTACTCTGCTCCATGACGGTTCCCTGTTGATCCCTTTAGATGCTTTTGTGGTGGACAGTTCACCATTCGACATGGTGCCCTGTTTTTAACCAGCTCTTGCGAGTAGGGATTGTTTAATTTATATCTTATTTCACTTTATAGGCCGGTCCATGAATAATTAATATAAATGACATCTTCTCCAAAATTTATTATAAATTACTTATTGATTTTGGAGAAGATACAAATAAGAAATACTAACATGAATTTTATCATTCTTTAAAATTCATGATATAAATTATATTATTACTTGCCATTAATTCATTTCTTATATCTCTTATTTGAATTAATGGCAATAGATATAATAGATTTAAATATATGGCATCATTAATTTTCAAGATAACTTATTAATTAATGATGCCCCCCAAAAACCAATAAATTAATAGAGGTTTTTGGGTTATAGGTGAATGAAAATTATTGATAAGAGATATTTTAATATAATTTTCATTCACTATATCATTTCTTTTATAACTTATATCTATAATCATGAGTTGACCTTTAATTTTAAAGAGGTCAACAGCCATCGGCTACTTCTAGATTTATACAATCGGTCGCTTTTTACCTTTCCAGTCCCTTGAATCTTAGGAAATAATTAGCAAAAGCATATATTTCTTTTATATTGTTACTTATATCTGCAGCAATATTAATATCTTATGCTGCATTATCTTCTTTTATTTTGTTTTGTGCCTGGGTCTTTGGGGGAAGACTCTGAGCATTGCAAAGAAGGTAAAACTTCTGACCACGCTTGTTTACCTTTGCTTTCCACTTGCCAAGAATTCCATCCAGTTGGGTAGTGGTCAAGGTGGTGTATGTCCGCGGTGATCGGCAGGTATGCACCCAGGCAAAAACCTGTTCTTGTTTACATCCTGAGCTGCTACCGTATGGGGTAGAGCTTAAAGAGCCGCCAACGGCTCTTTGGCCTTGACGTCCTTCCCAGAACTGACTGTAAATGGTGACAATGAAATGATATAAGTGTCACAACATATCACGGATGATGAACCATCGATAAACATTCAACAATCATTCATGAATGGAATGGATTTCAAGGAAAAGAAGACCTTCAACGGAATCACGACTCCCATCCGCGTTGTGCCATGTCCTGGGCCCTGTTCGGTCTCGCTTCGAAGGCCCTTTGCGTCCTCCGCCTGGGAGCTGATCAAAGTGGACCTGAGCCCCGTCACTGGTGCAGCATTCAGTCTGCAGCGTTCGCGGCGCGGTTTTCCGCGGATGGCTGGAGTGAGAACGGCTCCAGGCTGCGGATGTGTCAAAGGTGTAAGGGACGAGCCACGTGACGTTCCGCTCCCCCCCTCCCTACTTAAGTAAGTAAGGGATGCACCTGTTCCCTACTTAGCTACTAGTACGCTACTAGCATGGACGCAGGATGCTCCTCACAAGGAAGCTCCCCCCGCACTAGAGGCCGCGGGGGGGTAGCCTCCTTGAAGAGTTAAATGAATCAAGAGCTGCTAAAGCTGTCAGATTGACTCATTGAAACAGGACTTTATATATATATATATATATATATTGTCATTATACTGTATATATCCCAATCCTGGGATTGGCAAGTAGTTGTTTACGACAACAAACATGGGATGTTTAAGTTGAAAGACGATTCTTAGGGCGTGTCGATTCCTCCTGAGGCCGATTCCTCCCAGGACGTGCTGCGATGCGAACTTCTGGGCGGACTTCGTCAGCATACTTTATTGAGTCATGTCTTTGAAAGGAAGCTTCGTTCACAGCAGTCATTCTGCATGATGTTTATATATGTTGATGATCGTTTTACATTCCAATGAGGAGTCTCGTAGGCAAAGACCAAAGGGAAGAAGTGGCCACCCACCGAACAGAAACCATCGTCAATGCTGACTTCTTACATCATCCGAAATCAGCCGCCACGCTTTGAAGAAACAAAGTTCGTTTGCCACCATAAAAAAGAAATCCACGCTTTGAAACAGAAACCATCGCCTCCTTTGCTTCCGGGCCCGTCACTTCCTTCGTCTGCCTCGAGCGCAGGACGACGAGTCTCTCGCTGTGAGGGTGCCGCTTCCGGGTCGGTCGGCGCCGGCGGTCTGAGGAGGACTCCGGACGAACGTGGGTGGACGTGCTTGTGGAACCACACGTGGTTGTGGAACCACACCCATGCTTGGTGTCATTGTGTAAAGACCACTCCCTGAACTGTTTGTGGTGAAAACCACTCCCTTTGTGGCGAAAAAGAGTGTTTTCAGGGGCCAGCAGGTCCACGAAACGATTTCAGGGAGTCTACGTGCATTGACCCCCCATCAACCACCTCAATGATGCATGGCAATGGTGTGTTGGGGATTAGAAGTATGTCTCTTTGGGGGGAAGGGGATGTCATGGTTGGCACTGACATGACGAAGGGGATCGCGGGCGTTCCAGAAAACCCCGGTTTTTCATGGCAATGTTTTGTCCTTGAGCCCTCTGGAACCAGCAACAGGTATGTGATATGTATGCAGTATCTACAAATATGTACCCTGGAGTTTGTGCCATGCACGCCATACCAGAATGCAGTGAGATACATGCACACACCCTGGTGCTCAGAGAAGGATAAGAGAAAAGGTACACAGGTCCGGTCCATTTATACACTTTATATATATATATAATACATAATATATGTGTGTGTGACACATAGATAGATAGATAGATATATATATATATATATATCATCCAGTCATAGATTGAAAGAAGCAGCACCCGTTCCGCGTCCGACCGGTCCGACGGGTCGACGACCAGGTGAACTTGCAAGATGGCCTCCTCGAGCTGGTGCAGGCCACAGCGGTCACGGCACGTGCGTCCCGGTGCGTCCTCGGTTTGGTGTGTACTTGGTTCCATCTTGGATGGTATGTTTGGTATGTGTGGTATGTTTGGTTGGGTATGGTTTTCGGATATGTTGTTATGGTTTGATGTGTTTTGGTATGTTTGCTTCCTTCGTTTTGGGGTTCGTTCATGGGCTGGGTGTTGCCTTGCACCATTGATGGCAAGGGTTGGCATAATTGGTGTTCATCTTGGTCTTTTGCTAGACCCAGGGGGCAGCTAGCTAGCAGCAAGGACCCACATGGCTGCTACGACTGGGCTCTCTTCAGCACGGCCGTCTGTGACAAAACAACCGATCCACACCGGCGTCAAAGGTGTGGAAGACGATGCTGTCAAAGGAGGTCAGAGACGCTATCAAAGAGTCTCTGCTCTCATTCACTTCGCAACACCACAGCCTGGCTCACGCTCCCAACAAGGTGTTGTTTTTCCTCATGACCAGTAGGAAATCCTTTGTGCTCAACTTGGACATCAGAAACTGTGCAGAAAAGCTCCCATGATTGTTTTCAATATACAGTCATTTCAGGGGCTCGATGGCACAGACCTCAAGGGTTTCCTTTACTTCTCTTGGGGAGACCATGCCATTGGTCCTCTCAATCCACCACTGTAAGAGAAGTCGTTCCCCAAGGCAAACGTCGATGGACCAAGGCTGTTCGTTTAGAAATCGCAGCGATGAATGCTTCATGGTCCGTTAACACTTGATACCCTCTGACTCACTAACATGGAAGTGGAAAATGGTCACTTGGAAGACTACTTTCCTCTACCAACAGGGGGTTTTCCACTTCCAGAGTCAGAGCGTAGTCAGAGAGGAAATAGTGTGTGTGTGTGTGTAACCCTTGGAATCATAGGGATCCTTTCGGATTGTTTTAGCTTCACAGTTGTTTTCCTTGTGCAGCAGGGGCGTGTGGCACTCTCGTCCTACCACGCGCAATGAAGCTGTGGGCGAGAGTGGGAAGGGAAACTTGGCCAGTTTCCTGTACCTGCTGTGATAATTACTCCAATCTCCGGGCCCTGCTTGTACCTAAAACAACAAATCCAGCCTTTGCACCGGTTTGCTCTCGGCAGTCACGCATAGGGCTTTGGTTTCGGACGACGTCACTCTGTCGCTCGGTCGTTCGACGGTTCCTTTAGAGTTGATGGCCACGCTGAACTTGATGGACCTCCACTTCCTTTTCAGGTTCCTTTACCTGTACTCTTAGGAATTGGTAACCTAGGCCGGCGTGTGGCACCGCTTTCAGTTCAGCACACCCTATCCTAAGTGTGTTTGGCCTCGTGCCAACCCGGGATGAGCCCGCAGAGTGCCTCCCGTGGACCCGTCGAACGGGTGTATGTCCAACGTATCCCCTGCCCGGATACAGAGCAGCTCGCAGCGAGCGTAGGTGGCCTAGGCCGTACGTACGATGATTTTGTCTCATTTTAGGAATTCCAAGCTGGCTCATGCCTTTACGTGACCGCAGCGGTCTAAGCAGCCAGCCGCTTCGGCAGGGCGCAAGGTGACCACAGCAGTCAAAGTATTTTTGAGGTTCATTGGAACCTGTTGGGACCTTAGCCCCCTTCTCCCCCTTCCCTTCCCCCTTTCTTTCTTTGCTTCCTGGGGTTTTCCTGAATGCAACACTCAGGATCACCCCTCTCTTTCTTTGGTGCGTCCCTGGACGCTTGTTCGTAGCTGGGAACACCTGCCTTTTTTCTTTTTTCTCTCCTCTCCCTTTCTCTCCCTCTCTCTTTCTTTCTTTCCTTCTCTCTCTCTCCTTCCTCCCTCCTTGGGTGTCCCTGGATGCTTTTGTCATAGCTGGGAACCTTCTCCTCTCTTCCTTTGGTGTGTCCTTGGACGCATGCGCCGTAGCTGGGAACACCTTCCTTTCTTTTCTCTCCTTTTTCTCGTCTCTCCCTACCCCTCCCTCTTGTCGGCACCTTAGCTTGGGATACTACTAGGGGCTCCTGGCCTTCCTACTAGGTGTTAGGTGTTTCTTTGACGCAACTAGAGGTTCCTGGCCTTACCACTACTTGGGGGCGAAATCTTGCCTCCCCTCGGGGAGGCGTGTGTGTGTAACCCTTGGAATCATAGGGATCCTTTCGGATTGTTTTAGCTTCACAGTTGTTTTCCTTGTGCAGCAGGGGCGTGTGGCACTCTCGTCCTACCACACGCAATGAAGCTGTGGGCGAGAGTGGGAAGGGAAACTTGGCCAGTTTCCTGTACCTGCTGTGATAATTACTCCAATCTCCGGGCCCTGCTTGTACCTAAAACAAGAAATCCAGCCTTTGCACCGGTTTGCTCTCGGCAGTCACGCATAGGGCTTTGGTTTCGGACGACGTCACTCTGTCGCTCGGTCGTTCGACGGTTCCTTTAGAGTTGATGGCCACGCTGAACTTGATGGACCTCCACTTCCTTTTCAGGTTCCTTTACCTGTACTCTTAGGAATTGGTACACCCTATCCTAAGTGTGTCATTCTAGCTTTGCACACATCTCAACACTCGCGTTGTGCGTCAAACGCATTCAAACGCCGCCGCCGTGCGCTGCAAATCACAGGCCTTAGCCAAGGACTTCGGGGAAGAGTTCGCCATCGGCCTGGGCACTTGGGGTGTTAGTTAGTATCTTTGGCAGTGTTTTTGTGACTGTTGTGTTTTGTAAGTTCAGTTATATATATATATATGGTACCCCCCCCCAAAAAAAAAACATATGTTCACATCACTTTTGCTGGTATTTGCAATATTTTGTGTCTATTTTGGGTTGCCTTTTGACCCTTGTCTTTTTTTGGGGGGTACCATATATATATATATATATTTGTGCACGTAGGTTGCATGACTTGTTTGTCCACTTTGGAAGGAATGCAGTCAGAATACGTTCAATGCATTCAGAATGCATTCCTGCCCAATACCAAGACCAAGATCCAAGATTTGCACAGAAGTCTTGTGGAAAATCTTGGAAATACCAAGATCCAAGATCCAAGATTCCCACAAGACTCCTGGCTAAAATCTTGGATCTTGGTATTTCCAAGATTTTAGCCACGAGTCTTGTGGGAATCTTGGATCTTGGATCTTGGTATTTCCAAGATTTTCCACAAGACTTCTGTGCAAATCTTGGATCTTGGTCTTGGTATTGGGCAGGAATGCATTCTCTGGCATTCTCTGGGCAGGAATCATTCTGAGGAAATATCACTTACAATATCTCCCTGTGAGCGCGAAAGGCTCAAAAAACTCCTCTTTTTTTACGTCCGGGCCCATGGCGATGCACGTTTCGGGCACAGTGCAGTGGACCAACGGGCAGGCGCGGGTCAAACCTGTTCAAGGGCAACGTATGGACCAAGTACTCTGGAAGCGCAAGTTGGCAGATTTACTGCAAGCCAGTGACACCCAACTCATCAAACTACTTCGTCAAGATGGGCTTCTACAAGATTGAACAGGCAAGAAGTGCCCTCGATGTGACAAGGGCACATTGTCAAAGCTTCAACCCAATGTTGACCACGGGATGCCTAGACATCGTTGCAATCGGTTTGGTTGTCAGGCATACCTCAATCCTCACCACCTGCACCCAATCTTTGTGGACGGAAGAGGTGCTAGCCACACACCTTTGCAGACCCAGTCCGCCTTGCTCTTCTTGCTTCTCAACCGAGTGTCGCACCCTGCCATCCATCGCATTCTTGCTCTCAACCACAAGGCCATCGAAGATATGGAGAAGCGGCTGAATCATCTTCGCAAGGGCTGGGTGGAAGAGAAGGAGCAGTCAATTATCTTTGGAAATGGCAAGGATTGGACAGATGTGGAGGCAGATGAAGCCACCTTCTCAAGCACAGACCTGAAGCAGTTGGCCGACAACCCAGAGCAGCCCATGATCTGGGAACAGTGGTGTGGCATTGTGCAGCGGGGTTCTCCACACACACTCCTTTTGAAAAGGTTATCTCCCCAAACGTCTGCTCGGAGAGCGCCTGGTCCAGGTGCAATCAGGAAGATGGAGTGGCGTCCTCTAGCCACTAAGCACCTCCAGGATCGCGCTATCGTCCTCCACACGGACGCCGCCAAGTCGTACAAGCTGAAAGTGAGTGGCGTTCTCCACGACCAGGTGCGGCACTGCAAAAAGCGTGTCAAGGTCAAAGGCAAATGGGTGTGGAAAATGCCTACTTATGTGAAGATTGCCACCCATAAGGACCCAAAGACTGGTCGCCAATTCAAGACCAAAGGCGGTACCCAGATCATTGATCGTGCCTGGCGCTTTCTTAAAGATCGGGTTCAATTGAATCAACATTGCCGGGTGGGGAGTCCTCTTTTGCGGTTGAAAATCCGCAGTGCACAGTATGAGTGCTGGCACAGAAACTCTGATCTGTGGACTGCCTCTGGTATCTTGTGCACTTGGCACTTTGCCAAGTGAATTTTGTCTGCCTGCAAGGAAAAAATGCATCTGCAAAATACGTCTGAGAAATGTGTCTGCAACATTCTTGTTGTCATATCATAACATCTGTCTCTGGCGCATCACAAAATCAAACGGAGTAACACCAGGACTCAAAAACATAGGTTTTGGGGGGGGGGCTAGCATAATATACATGCATAATATACCGGCTTTGGTTTGCTATACTTCAACCAGGTATCAATTGCGCTAGCCTAAGATCTATCGGCATCTCTTGCTACCGGATGCTTTATTTTTCAGCATCCTGTTGGAACATACTGCTTTTGTGTCTCAGTGAAGGTACGACAGGTGTTGCTTACAATTATGCGGTGCTTACATGGCGTTTACATTGTGTTGACATTTGTGTTCCCAGGGTGGGTGGCTTTGTGTAGCCAATCCACCCGGGATGGGACTGAGGCGCGCAGACCGAGACTGAGACGACCGAGCAGTTGCGGCCGCTCAGCGAGGCGACCGTTGTGTGTGTGTGGCTCTAGGAAGCAAAGGGCATCGCTACGAACGGAGCAAGGACGCTACGAACGGGGCTCCGGGCATCACTAGGAGCATTCTTACTACTAGTAACAAGAAGCTACGTAGCAAAGGGCACCTTTAAAGGACAACGCAACACAAATAGTTGTGGCTCCAACCTAAGAGCGATGGCCTCCAACCTACTAGCGATGGCCTCCAAGGGAACCTCTAAACAGAAGAGACCGAAATCCCAGCAAATCCTAGTGCGACATGTTTTGGGCAACTTGAGTCGCGTCACGTCTCTTAGGGCTACGGCCCTTCACGGTTTCTTTGTTTCGGCTTCGTAAGTTCAGGTGTCCGGCCGTTCTCCGGGCCTTTCTTATGACTGGTTCGTTCGACGAATGGAGACTCCCCGAGTAGTGCACATCACATCATTGTACATCGCCACAGCACATTTCACCAAGACACCACAAACACAGAAACAACCTTGTAAACACGTAAGCCAAACCCAATAGCGATGGCCTCCAACCTACTAAACACGTAAGTAAATACACATCACAGAAACAAAGGAAACTACACTACACACCGCATCATGACACTGTGCATCACTCGAATCTCGCGTTGCCTTAGGGGGGACCGTTCTACACATGAAAGCTCGTTGTTTGCAATGCCTTGCGTCCTAGTAGCGTTCCTTGCTCCTAGTAGAAATGGCCTCCACCCTAGTAGCGATGGCCTCCACCTAGTAGCGTCCTAGCTTGCCTGTCACAGTTCCCGCAACCAGGAGTTCAAGTGCATCTCTTTGGGCGAGCTCTACTTGCCACCTACGCAGCAGACCTCGGGCAATCACATGTCGATCTCAGTGAGGTGGAATTGAAAAGACTAAGTCGTGGACGGTTCGTTTGATGGTTGTCTAGACTAGTCACCTGGAAGTCTAGTAGATTTATATCAACGGCTTGTGAAATGGACTTGCGGAAAAATCGAGAGAACCTGGCGAACCTGTGTGGTATCTCCTAGGGTTGGTTCCAACTGTTGTACACCTAGTTTGGCCATGCGCGTTCACAAAGAGTCATAGCATGAAGCCCAATCCATTGCCTAAATCTTGGACTGTCGGAAGTCCTTACCTTCCAACACCTTTTTCAGGTTCAAGGTACAGACTATTTAGGAAAACGATGAAGGTTGATTGATTGTCAATCCGCCACAACTGTCACGAACACCATGGGTTACAAGTGTCTTGAGATTCTTGGCTTTGACAAGCTTCCCACCCCCTGTTCAAGTCCCAAAGAACACCGGACCACACCATGCGCAGAAAACCAAAACTTTATGCCAGACGAGGCCTATTTGTGCTGATTTGCGGCTTTCTGCGCCAGGAGCCCCAGTCGATCTGGCACAACACAGCGACAGACCGAGAGCAAAATAGTTCTGGCAGACACTTGCTCGTAGGGAGCAAGAACAGTCTGGTTTAACGATCAAGACGAACACCTGAAAGGAGTAAGAGTTCATGTTCATTTTTGCACGGTGAATCTCCGGCAGATCAACCGCTGCCATTTTTCAGGCAATGCACCACCAATCTGGCTGGCACTGGCATCGCCACGGCATCACCTGGATGCTTCCGATCGGTTTCTCTAACACAGGGCGGGGCATGAAAAGTGGTTCTCCGGCATGGTCCATGGTGTAACTGATTTGTGCCCTTGAATAAGAGCACTAGCCTTGGCATGTGCGGTTCAGCCGTTCGATCCTCCCCGATGCGTTGCGCCGCGTTCTGCGGCGTTCCGCCGTTCTGCCAGCGGTTCCACAGAGGTCTCCCCTCGATCTGGCAGACAGGTGGTGTCGGCCCATGCTTCGGTTCCAATCCAGTTGTTCTACACCTTTCTATAATGTATATATGTATATTTATTGTTCTGCCTGTTGCTTGTTTCTCTGTCTATCTACCTTCTACCCCTCTCGTTCTATTTTCCTCTCGAACTACTGCTGTTTGCATCAGTTGTTCGGTTCATCCGTCTATCCATCCTGTTGTCTATGTACCTGCGCACATCTACCGACGAGCTCTCCAGTCGCGGATGGGTGTACCGACACACAGACTTGAGACGCACTGCCGTCAGCGGCCGAAGAAGACGGAAGCATGAGCAAAGGATTCTCGTGCGGCTCGGTGTTTGCAGCGTTTTTTTGTTGTTTCTTTTTTTAGACCTGCCTTGTTCCCCACGGTATAGAATCGCATGCTTCTTCATGCCTTTTTTTTCATGACATTCTGCATGTGTTTGCCTCTTTGCCAAAATGCATGTCCTTCTCTCGGCCATAGACTTTTACAGCACATGCTGGTCCTTTTATCGCACGGCACATGCGACCCCCACTGCTTCCATTTCCCTCAAAACCCTCAAACCTCGTCCCACCGAGTCTGGGGAGATCACTCGTGGCTTCTTCAAAGAACAAGATCTACAAACGCTGATCCCGCCGATCCGCATGAAATTCATATGGATCTTTTCGATGGCGGGTCGGCCGCCATAAAGGCGTCCAGGGGACCGCCTACGACTATAAAGTCGGTCCCCTGCATGTGACTCTGGCTAGCTAGACACTACCTCATTGAGTTCATCTTAAGATCATGAAAATGTTAAGAAAGCCGCACTGAGTTGAACAATCACTGCTTTGGTCACCTCAAGGTTTGGTCGATCAAGGTCTCATGGGCAGGTGGCCGGCCCTGTGTCGCTCGGTCGGAGAGTTCGTTGTGGAAAGACGAAGCCAGATGTTCCACATCTTGTTGGCTCACCAAGCAGTTCGGTTTGTTGTTCCTTGTCTTGGGCGTCACCCTTTTTGGGGAAAGACTTCCAAGACACGTCACGTGTGGAGATCGATGGAGTCCAAGGCCCGTCTTCGTCTCCTTCACGGGCTTATCCCTGACCTTCCCTGAGATCCGCTTGGCCAACGTCACAACAACTAGAACCAAGCTGGGGCAGGCCAGGCGGCTGAGAGCGAGCGGTGGAGAAGAGCGAAGAAACCAACCAACTTTGGAGGAAAAGGGTCGGGTTCCCTACTTCCGGCAAGTATATCTCAGCAACCTGCAAAGGGGCTTAAAAAGTGGTAAGATTCTCCAGGAAGCTGTTCTTTGAGGAGTAAATGGTTCTCCACAAGTCTAGATTGGTTGGTCTTGGTGTAGGTGTTCGAGCAGTGGGAGGAGCGCATCAGTTTCTTGTGTATTGGCGATGCTGACGCTGGAGCCCCAATCAACCAATTCAGAATCGGCCTTCCTACAATGCTGAGCAGGGTTTTTTGTTTTTGGTGCTTGCAGGTCGGCTCCAGTATGGAGTTTTTTCTCGCCTTAGTAGCAGGGTGGTAGTCAACCCCAGGAAGAGTGACAAGAACCTGCCCAAATGAGCAAGCAGCGCATAAGGTAGGATGGTCCCTGGGGCAATGCCTGTGGTACTTTCCGCCAGGAACTCATCGCACATTGCATCGCCTTCCTCTTGCCGCTCAGTCTGATGTGAAGGTTTTGAGGCACGAACAAAACAGTGCAGGAACGAATGAACCACATGGGAAAGAGGGTGAAGAACGATGATTCACCATTCTGTGTCACCTTGCCACCGAAAGCGCAAGCTTTTTGAAGTCAGGGTCCTTTTTTGAGGGGCGAGCCAAAGGCCTGACAACGGTGGTTCAGGTCCTCCGCAAGTGCGTCAGAAGACCAGGGCCAAGTTGGACTGGACCCGTGAGGTGTTCCAACCCGGTTTGTGATCTATATCTATTGAAAGCTTCTACAAAGAAAGCAAAGGACCGTCATGTTCAAAAGAAAACCGTGTTTTTTCCTCCGTTTCTTCTTGCCAAGGCTCAACAGCCCTGTGTTGCTGGGCTCCTGCGACCTCTTCGGCAATCCTGTCCAGGCAGCGCGCGGGTCTGAACCGGGGATCTACCGCAGGTCTGGTGGGTTTGGGATGCTCGAGTTCGACCTGCTTGATACCGACGAGTCTCATGAATCAATGGTCTGAAAACATAGTTCTTTGAGACCGATATGTGGTGAGCGCCAGTTTAGGGAGACACTACATATATATATATATATATACTTCCAAACACATACTGACTGCCGTTCAACTGGAGTGCCTACACTCTGCAAGCTCGATGAGCCTGCAGACCTCAGCCAATTGCAGTCTCTCCTGACAAAGCCAAAAATGATCAAAAAGCTGTTCCTTGAGAAATGAAGACCTTCAGTATAAGACTATAGTGTATTTGCCATCGGAACAGGCTTAGTGGCTTACGTAGTCAATCACTTGCTGCCCCGGCCTTCTACGTCCCCCCGCAACCCGACCCGCTTGACGTCCCTCCTCCCGTCCCCCGCTTCCGTACGAGGCCTATCGACATCTTCGCTCCGGCCTCGGGGTGCGGTCCCCGGCGACGGGCGGTCGAAGGCCTCCGAAGGCCACCGCTGAACGGTCGTTTCGTCTCTCAACGGCCTGCAACTTACAGTGGTCACGGACATCTTGTGGCCACGAGAAGAAACCCTTGAAACCATGGCTGAGAAAATCGCAGAACATGTACTTGGTTCTCCCATGAAATCCATGGCTGTGAACTCCATGAGGACGACGGTGACTATCCCAGGCTGAGGGAGACCTCTTCGGACACACAGCTGTCAAAGGCTCCCAATCTTGGAACGGGAAAAGGTCCCAACCTGGTTGACTTGTCCCGATCCATTTGGTCCCCAAGATTCGATCAAACTATCTAGACAAGTAGCTGACGGTTTTTACCTCTTGCATGTGTCCTTGGTTGGACCTGTGAAAAAAGTCCTGTACTTGTTTGGTGTTTTCTTTGCTTGACTAACTGTCCTCTTCTCCGATTAGATCCACTTTCCTTTGCGCACCTGAATTTCAGTAGGGTGTGTACTCCTGTGCTTTATTCGACAATCTGGCATATCGTCCACAATTTGGCCGAGTTCCTACATCCAAACGACAAATTGCCTCAGAGCTGGAGTTGGGCATCCCAACGACATATTTCCCTTCCAATCAGAAGCACCAAAAGGTCCATGCAACGGCCTCGTGATCCTTTCCGGATGCTTTGAGGTCTTTTTGGCTGGTTTGAGGACCAGGTCGAACCATCGACCGGTTCGCTCGGTCGAACTCGCCAGGATTTGGTCCAACGACCTTTGGGTGGAGGTCTCGGCTCCTTGGTCAGCGCCTCAGGGTCTCGGTCGGGTCTCGGTCTGGTCATGCACTCCGATCTGCATGACCTGCGGGGGGATGATGAAGCGGGGACCAAACGAAAACACCGGTACTCATTGGTATGCATTGGTCGTTTCTACTCGATGAGTGAGAAATTTCTGCACAGCAGCCATTGCAGCAAACTTTCTGCAAAGCTGGATACGCCTGCGTCACTTCGCAGGCAGTCGAAGCCCAGATATCGGTAGAATATGGTCGAATCGGTGTCATCAGGTTCTTGAAGATCCCTCGATTTGCCAGATCCAGCGCTCTGGATCTACCATCTTGGCTTTTTAGGCATCGCAATCCAGTTGACTCTTTTTGGACATCTCAAGATTACCCACCTCACCCACCTTGTCTCTGGCTAGCTGCTAGTCTCTGTTGCCTGAGACCTGACTATGGCCAGCCTGCAACCTGTCTCCACTGGAATGGCCCCTTCAGCCTTTTGACCCACGACCCACCCCCCTCCACACCTCACCACACCAGGCCCGTCACACCGCTTCCGCTTCGCTGCTGTCCCTGGCAGCGCTCTGTGATTCCTTGCGCCGGGGAGCCGAAAATGCCGGGTGAGCTTCAAGGTGAGGTGAAAAAGCTAGGAGGAGGCGGTCAATCTTAGAGGAGTGTTTTTTCGTGCTCCACATTGTATCTTAATTTTAAATTGTATCTATCTCCAGGATAAATCGAAGTACCGCCAAGTAGATGCTATTTGGTGGCTCGTGCTCCTAAGACATGGTGTTGCACAATTTGGATGTAGGTGACATGATTTATGCTGTATTGGCTTATCTAAATATCTCCATGCTGTATTGGCGCAGAGAACTTCACGTTCGCTTTTCATCCTAAAGCCCAGTGCAGCCATTCTGCAGCCATTCTGACTCCAACAGTCCAGAATCTCCGTGCAGACAACGATGGCACTGGTGAGTAGAGTTGTCTACCCATCTGCACGCAGGGAGCCCTGAAAGCGGGAGGAGGGCGCCGTTGGAACATCCGGTACAAGTACAGAAGGACATTCGCCCGTGCGGAAGCCTTTGATTACATTTGGCTTCAGCTGGCCCCTATTCACGACTGCTGGCTTTCCAACCAACCGGTTTGGGTCAATTGCATGTACTTGACTGCAAGTAGCATCTCCTGTTCCGGCCCTTGAGCGACTTGAGGGGCCACAGATGTTCGAAAGACGATCCGTGGACTCTTGTGGGATTGGTTGTTGGATCTCGTTGTGGGATTGGCTGCCAGACCTGTGGTTTGTATTTCCTGGGGTTATCTTGCTTGCAGTGGAGCCATGGTTTCTCCAACAAGGTTATATCTTCACATAGATGTTTGCAGTTGCTCAACTAGCATGATAATTAAGTGGACGGCATAGTGCAGGTATGTGACACAGAAGCTCCTATGAAGACTTACACATGTCAGGTGGTGAAAACATGTCCATCAACAGCATTTTGCATAAGGCCCAAGAGTTCCACAGTGCTAAAGTCTGAGATGGACCCGCAGGAATGTATGCTAGTTCAATGCACCCAGCTGACACTTGCACTACTCCAAGTTGCGACATCGTCCGGAATTGTCCGCCTTCTTGTAGGCCTGCCTCCTGTTGTGACAGGAGGTGCATCATGCCAGTAGTAGCAATGGCCTCCAACCTAATAGCCATGGCCCTACTTTTCCAACTCCTCCGTTCAATACACCCGTTCAGTCACCCTCGTTTTCCCCGGGCTTCCTCGTTTCGCGACTCTGTCAGCGGGGGTTGAGCCAAACCAATGGAAGGCAAAGGAGGACTTCAAGTAACTTCAAAAGTATATTCTATATACATGTTACCACCCCGAACCATATCTACCATGTATATAGCAACGCAGCTTTCGTTCTACCAACAACGGTGCACCGGTGCAACGGCACGACCGCAGTGACCAACCGGTGAGGCCTCGTGGATTCTCCCACGCCCGTGGCGGCCGAGCTCCCCGCAGAGCCCTTGCGGTTCTTCCCAGGCCGGGCGCGCGAGGTGTGACGAGTTTTGCAGAGGCGATTTCTCACCAGGGCAGGAGTTGTTGGTGTTTGTCTGAATCAAGAAAGGATCCGGAAGAAGTTTAGAACAATACACCTCTCTCAAGGATGGGTGCGAATGGAATATGATTTTGTCTTATCTGAGTCTCGCTTGTTGCACATTATGAAGATTCTGCACACGATGACTGTGTTCCTCAGCACTGCTTCGAGCGGTATTTGGATCAATCATGATCAACCCACCCCTGATCCCACGACAAGTCTTTGTGATGGACGACTCCCCGACTGAACAAGCTGCTCGCTTCTGAGCACAAGACCCATGAGTATTCGTCACCCGCTTTTTGTGCGGTGACGTTTCTTGAGACCAAAAGCCTGGGCGCACTTCACATGTTTCCGGGTCCAACTCAAATGGAACTTTTCGTGGTATTCTCCACATGTCGTGACAATCAAATGCTGCACGACTTGGCTCTTTGATGAGGTACCAGCTGCAAAGGAGATTGAAATGGTAACAATGGCCTGGCCACGAGAAAACATGGCCCCGGCCGCCTCTCAAACTGAGACGGTGAAAAAAAAAAACGCATCACTCTGTGCATGCAGGAGATGGTATCCGAAAGGCCCAGACCAGTACCAGCTCCAGGACTCTTTTGACAGCGCAGGCAACGCGTCAGGTGAGGTCAGAAGTCCAGTTCCGGTAGGAGGATGTCTTTTTGTGAACCCCCTCGTACAACAGGTACCACCAGAATCACCTAACAAGCGCACAAAGTACCTGTTGTATGAGGAAGTTGGTTTCTTAGTCATTTGTGGGAACCTCTTTGTTGGATTGATCAGATGCAGACACTCGACACTCACCTCTACCATCATGACGATCAGCGGTGGCTTCTCCACATATCTATATCATGGAGCGAACGGACGAGCACGAAGCACGTCTGCGTGCCCCTTCTTTGGTTTTGCTTAGGGGTTGGCGTTTCCCAAACTGGATGAATCCCCTTCCTGATAATATAGTGTTCATGTTTTCGGGGTTCCTCGACAACAAATCCAAGTTCAAGCCATTCTCGCAGCTGTGCAGCCATCCCAGGAGGATGACGGCCAGATCACCCACAACTCAACGAAAGCTGGAAGGGGTCTTAGACCGCCGATGGTTTCACGCATTCACCTTGCAGCATTGCAAATCCAGAATGACTCCAAACCGATCCATGCACTTCGCAACCACATTCATTCGATGGCAGGAAAACCATGTTCTAACAGCTCACCGTCACTGCTAGTCCATGTTGCTACAAAAAGAAGTTGTGTACCCTCCAACGCACGTTCCGTGGAAGTGGATGGCATGCACCCTTGGATGACGATGTTCCTTTAATTCCACTTCCATGTAAAGTGTCCGTCGGAGTCTATTTGCTACATACAACATCATCAAGAGAATTTGTATACATTGACATATATACTGCACTGGAAATACCTATATATAGAATCATACAAAGTGAGTCGTGAAAGAAGTTACATACGTAGATACTAGGGGCTACTGGCCTTACTACTAAGAGCAAGGACGCTACTAGGGGCTACTGGCCTTACTACTAAGAGCAAGGACGCTACTAAGGGGTAACAAGAAGCTGTGTGTTTTTCTTTTTTTTCCAAATCCAGGTTTTACGGTTTTCTTCTGCTCAGGCAGTGACCATCTGTGGCCCGGGTGCCGGCATCCAAGCGAACCAACAGGCAGTCGCTTCGTTCACGGCCGGACCAACAGGGAGAAGCACCTTCCTCAGCCTTCCCTCCAAGCTCAAAAATTCAACCTCCAAGACGCCAACAGAATGTGTCTTGGTAGGGCGTACCAAGAAACCGGTTTTGACTAGGTCCAAACGAATCGTTTTGAAACTGTTTGGGGTCTATGCTGGTATAATTCAGAGTTTGTTCAAACATATTAGTACTTGTTGCAAGACACCAGTAAACATCCCAGGTGGTGCAGGGTGTCTTCCTTACAACAGTAACAGCATCAGTCGAGTCTAGCTCCAGACCGGTCTGCTCCGTCATCACAGACTCCGTGAGGCGTGGGCCTCGCTGGATCAGAATCCACGAGTCTATCTCCAAGTCTTTGGCCAGTCGAGGCTGGGCCGATTTCGGACCAAGTTCTCGTCCCAGAACTTCTCGCTTCTTCTCCGATGGAGAAAGACATCCATGTCGATGTTTCTTTGGGACGCGACGATTCTCTCCATGTCTTGCTCAGCATGGGGTGACGTGACCACCATGTTCCATATGCTCCATATCATTCCATGTCAGGTGTCGTTTCGCGCGTTCTCCGCACACGCGCCCATGAATTCTGCATATGTCTTTGTTCGTAGTAACAAGGGCATTCCTACTAGTAACATCTAGTAACAAGGGCATTCCTACTAGTAGCAAGAAGCTACTAGTAGCGATGCACCTTGCTACTAGAGTTTGTTCCGTGAATTCACCATGGAGGGGCCACTATGACCACTACCCCTTGGGATGGCCTGGTGGAGTGCCTTCGCCCAACAACTTGGCTCCTTGGCGAGAGAGATCTGCCTTAACGGGTTCTGGTGAGGAAAGAGGCCTGAAGCGATGAGGAAGAAATCAATCCACTGTGAGAGACCACTTTTGGAAAGAGACCACTTTCGTACTCGGTTCTTTTAGTCCAATACTCTAGTTCTATCCCACAATGGGATTTGGATCGCTTCGTGTCTCCAGCATTGGCTTGCCCCAGCAGCATATAGCAGACTGGCACGTCAATGGATGCTTTGTTGTAGTGAGGATGGCAAGAGTTGCTTCGGTTGCTTTGCTTGTGGCCCCCTGCCACTTGCCCTTGGAATGGAAAGTCAAGGATCAGCATTCAGTGGTGGGTTCGTGGAGAGGCTGCAATCGGTTTCCACTGACTTTTTCAGGGGCTAACCAGGGCCGTTTTCGTCGGAAGCTCCTGTTCGACGGATTTGAGGAATTTATTGCAGAGGACTGCCGCTGCCTGCAGATAAATGTGGTCGAACTAGAGGGACTTGGCCTCGATATCAACATCCATTCAAGCCAAACCACGCATGCCGTCCACTGGATCCACACATATCGATGCTTTCTCCAGGTCTTGTCCGCACATGTGGCACCTGTTCATTGTTTGTCTTAGTGTCTTCCTATGCTGTCAACTTCTTTGTTGTCTCATGGATTCTTTTGTTGCTTGGAGTGGGGGGCTGGGGCACCAAAAACATGTATGTTATACGCCATCATTCATCATGATGGCAAAAGTCATTGCTGATGAAACTGTTTTGGGTCCAGATTTGCTGGTGATCATTGTTGGGCTGCAAGCAAAAACTTAGTGGTTTCTTCTACTCTTGGCGTGCCACCGCTCTGTGTTCTCGCTGGGGCTTTGCAATCTACAGCTTGCCCTCACTTCGCTCTGTGTTTGCTGCTGTGTTTAATGCGACAAGAGTGCAAATACCAGAGTTGGGCAAGATTGATTGATGCATAGTCATCGCCTTCCCATCCTCAACATTGCAACATTGCGCGTGTCCTTTTTGATTGTTGTGCCACAGTTTATTTGCTGAAAACCCCCGAGATCACCGGAAGTCACCAAGAGGTGCAGTCATCACAAGTCATGAGAGACTAGAAAGCCCCACCCACACAAATCCATTTGTTGGTATCACAAGATAAATCAGTGGTTGAGCTGCATAAGGTTTGTCCATGTGTTTCTGTTTTCCTACGGGTAGAGGTTCTTGGTTGTGCCAGAGGCCCACGCCTTTTGTTACAGGTCAACGGTTTGCTTATGGTGAAGACTTCACAAGCGCACCTGCAGCATCTGCGGATTTGCAAGTGTTTTGTTGTGTTCTTAATGGCCCGCAGCCTGCTCCCCCTCCTGCCTACTTAATTGAGTAGGCGCCTACTCAATTAAGTAAGGGAGAGGTAGCTAGTAGTAGCTAGGTAGCTAGTAGCTTACTTAAGCTACTAGTATGGACGCAGGATAGCTCACGCTTCTTCAAGGAAGCTCCCCCTGCCGCCCTAAAGGCAGCGGGGGAAGCTTTCTTGAAGAAGCGCTCGCACTAATGATTTGGTCCTAGATCTTTGGGGAAACTTAAGGTTGGAGGCCATCACAGCATAGCTCACGCTTTTAATGATGTGGTTCCTAGATTTTTAGGGAAACTTAACATGTACGCGACAGGTGCAGCACGGTCAGTTTTTCACACCCTTGTTTTGTGTAATTGTGTATACACTCCCTGAACGAATGATGAAAGTGGAAAACCACCTGATTTGTAGATGAACCTTCCGCGAGCCGACCTTCCACTTCCGTTTCAGGGAGTGTATGACTTCAACGAAAGATGGCCAGCACCATTTGAGCTTGCGCATCCTTGTAGTCGGGAAAAGACATCACGCTGTGATTGAAACCGCAACTTGCACTCCGCAATGTACTTGTGCAAATATGAAGACCACAACAAGTAGACCAACAAGTCGATGGGGTATGCAGCCTGGCAACTGCAATGTGAGGACGATGTCCTTTTCATGCAAACACATCTCCTGTGACATGCTGTTTGGCTATTTTCGATGTGTCCAAAACCCAGTAGCGTCTGGTGTCTTCCACGACACTTGACAACACAGTGAAGTGAAAATGCTCAGAGATTCAGGAGCTGGCAAAACAAGGTGTGGTTCAAAACAGTGACTGTGCCCCGGCAAGAATGGCTTGCACCGCTTGGACGTCTTTGTTCTTTGTTGATTCCCAGTATGAGGCTTTTGTTCGCCCAGCACGTGTTTGCGGGTTCCCAAGATCTATGGTGTGCTGCAAGCACTTCGTTTTCACCCCGTGAAATGTAGTCTTACAACCGGTTCGTGACCTGGTTTTGGTCCCAGGTGGGGCAGGTATTCCTTCCTGCAAGGGTACTTTTTTGAAGGGGTTAGTAGTTCTTCGACGACATCACAGAGTTTGGAAACTCAAAGGAATCCAACAAGTCGGTTGTGCCACCGGCAGATCTTGTTCGTTTGCTGTTCGCCGTCAGACGATTGAGTCTTTTAGGACATGTTGATACTTCTTGATTGCCAATGTGAGTTCACATGTGTCTAATTCGAGTCATTTGACCCTTAGTATTTGTGGGCGAAAACGGGTTTAGACAGAGTGTGACAAAGAAGAGAACATAAGTGATCAATGTTTGTGTGGGGCAAGTGGTTCTCCAAGAAAGTCCTGGCCTTCCTCGATGTCCTGTCTTCAGGTTTGGTGTTTGGTTCGCGTGGCGGACAAGTTGTTCTGCCGTTCTTGTGGAGCAAGTTTGGCAATGCACTTCTGCGGCATTGGACTGCTACACATGATTCATCAAACGAAAGCAGGTAAAATTCATGTCATATGACGAGCTCATTTACAGGTGGAAAATTGTTGCCATTTGTTTAGTTGAACACGAAAGATTGCGACAAAGAACAAGATGACCTTTTGCGCCATGCATCTCAAAGTGGGAAGAACTACTCTAGAAGGTTCGAAGGTGTGATTGATAGTGTGTTGACTTCAACGAGCTGCAAAGAAGAAGAATCGAACTGAACCGCGTCTCTCCGCCAGCAACTGGAGTTCAACGTCTTCCAACTGTGTTTGGTCTCTGCACTGGTCCAAAACGCTCGAGCATCACGAAACTACGGCGTAGCGCTTCTCTTCCCGTCGGCGCTCAGGAAATGCCGCCCAGCATCGTCATCAACGGCGGTTGCGCCTTAGAGATGCCCAGGCCGGGGGCATCCACCGTCGACCGAGATCCGGTCGGTGAGGGAGCTTTTCCCCCGAGGAGAACGAAAAACCGACTGGTCAGTTGGCTTTTGTTGGAACCACATGTGGAATCACGTGGATATGTTTAGACCTATCTTCATGTAGATCCAATACAACAATTAGCTATATCTTTCATGTTTTTTGGTGCTCCCGTAAGATCAACCATTCTACTGTCATTGGGCGGTAAGTCTAGACTACCAGGGGCACCACAAACATGGTTGTTGTATCTGAAAACCTAAATGTTTCATTGTTTTCAGGGCCCCTGGTAGCTCATACTTCTGGTGAAATGTTCATGTTTGTTTGTTGCTTGTGAGCTTTCTCGTGGGAGAGGCAGCCTGCTTGGCCCAAGAATGCAGTCACCCTACTCGTGATGGGCGGTGCCTTGGCTCCAATGGTCGACAGTCCAGGTGTTCAAAAACATGCAAAAGGGACTCAGTTTGAGAAGCATTTGCAGCATCTCCAAATGCAAGGGTTTCGAGCATAAAAGCACGAGTGCGTATGTCAGATGTTGTTTCAACAGCTGTCACAGACCTTCGTTCGAGGCAACGACTACTTCCGCAAGCCGGAGATATCTGTCGACCAGCCACTTGTTGGTGTCAGTTACAGCTGCTCTCGAGCACAGAATATGTAGAAGTCTTCGCAAAGAACCACCGCCCGTAGCCCAGAAACCGAGATGAAACGATTGACAGTCCCAAGCAATTCGCCTAAATCGAGCGATGGAGCCAGCTCCCACTGGAGCAAAAGGTGGTACTGTGGCTGTTGTCGTTTGGGCATCTCAAAGAAAAATAGCACGATGCCGATCAAAGGGGAGAGCCACAGCCAACCACCCAAGCTATCAGTTCCAATGCCAAGACCGCTACACATGTGGCACCGTTTCAAGGGGTTGGCAACCCTTGAGCTGTCAACACAGGCCTTTGATGTTCATGTTGTTTTTCGTCATGAACTCCTGAACCCATCTGAACCCAGACAGCTTTTCAGCAGACACAATGACAAGCTCCGTTGGCCTGGCGTTGGAGGTCTACCAAAGCACAGACTGCAGACTTGCTATTTACACGCTTTGAGCGTATTTGTGAGGATAGAAAATAGTTCTTTTCCAAATCAGTTAGATGTATATTGTAAAGTGTCATACATCTTTAATTTGATCGTCCCCAGCAGTTGTTCTGCTCTCCGGATTTGGACTCGCACACGCGACTCGTGAAGATCGTCCCGGCCGATCGGAGGTATATGGCCGAAGCTCGCGAACGAGTACCCAAGCACAATCGCTTCACCGCACAGCTTGTTGTGCCTCTTGGAGAAATAGTAGCATGCAGGCATTTTGGTTTGGGCTCCTTCAATTAAGATTAGTCAATCATTTAAGCTATATATATCCAAGAATTAGACCATCTGAGCAGTGTCGAAGGTGTCCACTTGATTCCTCAAAACGCCCACAAGCAAGAAAGTCACTCCCATTCCTTGGCTGGTAACCATCATGCATTTCTTGATGTCTAAACCTCGCAGACGTGTTGACGGTTCATCCAGTCGTGAGTCATCTGAGCAGTTTAACGAATCGGTTGCCTTCCATGTTTGGTGGCACGTAAAGGTCGAGGAAAAAAAAAATGAGGCCTGAAATGGGGCATGTGGCAGACCAGCCAGTTTTGCAGCTTGGCTGGTTTCGGTGAGCTGTCGCCAATGCTGCTGATGTTCCACAGCGAATGTCAGCAGCAAAACCACCCAAAACTCCCTCTTTCAGTCAACATGTGACATGGTTTGTTAACCACTTGCACAGCTGCCAGTTGCCTGTAAAGTTACTAAGCATTCGTTCTTTGCAACATCGAGCTAAGCGGATTCAGTGAAAAAGAAAAATTTAGAAAACCGAGTTGAGCTTCGCTTGAAGGGCAGTTTTCGCTGAATTGGTTTTTGAGTTTTCATGGTGTTCGGGGGCTTTCACTGTTTTCGCGGTGTTCACATGTTTGTGGTTTTTTCGCCGTTATCTCGGTTGCTTTTGCGATTTCGCGGTTTGAACGTTTTCGTGGTCGGCATCCTAATCAGAACATTATTGGGCATGCAAAGTGACAGGCTTTGCATATGGTTAACCACAGTTTTGAAAAGAGATAGCTTTTTCACAGGGAACTGGTTCTAAGCGTTTGAACGAAAAGGCCTACTTAGAACCATGATGCTTGGAGTACTTAGATCCAAAGTAATGAGTACTTACAACCAAAGGAGACAGGACTTCTATTTTTCCCTGGCAGATCCAACTCTTTTTTGAACCAGTTGTAGGGTACTGATTGTCACATTTGGCTTCGTTTGGAAGTGAAGGATTATGAACTGGTTCAGCTTATGAACTGGAGTCTACCGTCTAAAGGCTTTAAACTGGTGAAGAAGGTGGTTGTTCTAATGTATGGCCGCCCCTCATTGTTCAAAGTGTTTGGTCCGGTGCATTCGGATAAAATGCGTAGGTTCCATATGTTCGCTGTGAATTCTGGAAAGTGTTGTTGAACCTTGACCACCTCAGCCTGGGCATTGTCCACTGAGTCTTCATTAGATGAGGAGCACAGCCCTTGATTCTGGCGTTAGAAGGTTTTTGTGTTTGCAACCAACAAATCCGCTGGGCCTGATTTGCTTTTGACATGCTTCTTTTTGTCTTGCGGGTCCGCTCGTTTGTGATATGTGACATGATTATTCCTGGCAAAGCCCCTCCTCCGATGCCATAAAAACGCATTAATTCTTCCGGCGTCATGGTTGGCTTTCGCCGTTCTTTCCCGCCGGATCCCTGAACATTCGCTTAAAAGCGGACGACGCGAAAGATCATTGCAGCAACTTAGCCAAACTCTAAACCTCCACTAAAAAAGCTTGGTGTTCATCTTCGTTCAGGGCGCAACAATGCCTAGGTGTCGCCCCGCTCGGCTTCACCTGAGGAGCTCCCTTCTGACGGAGGAGGTCTTTCTGGCGCTCAAACAGTGGCCCTCCAATCCGCAACCGTTTTATCACACCTTCCAGGCCGGGGGAAAGGCTAGGAGGGAGAGGTAGGTAGCTAGTGGTAGCAAACGGTAGCTAGTACCTACAAGAAAGCTGCTAGTATGGATGCAGCTCGCACTAATGATTTGTTTCCTAGATGTTTAGGGAAACTTAAGGTTCCCATACAAAATGGGAGGTGTATTCATCAGTCGAAATGAGCTGGTCAGTGAGTCTGAATTGTGACAAGTTTGCATCCCATGTTTTTTTCTGGAGCAGACTTCAGCAATTCTACACGCAAGCGTTTTGGAGTAGAAGGATTAGGGAAATGCAGTCAAACATGCACCAACTGTCATCGGTCATCGGTTGTGACGTGAAAGCCGCTGTTAGCGACACCGTTAGCGAAGGAAGGCCTCTGTTAGCCACTCTGTGATTGCTCCCCCCTTTTTGCTTGGAAGCCTCAGGGAAAAGAACAAGCAAAGTCCAAACTGTCCAATGAGTTTTGGAACTTGTTTGGTATTTTGCACATAGTTGAGATGGTAGATTGAAACAATATGCTCTACGTACCGCAAAAGGTGCCCCTTGCCTGCAGGCAGGAGCTTCCAAGAATCTCCTATTCTGATCCACTGTCTACTCCATTGATTCATTCCCCTGTCTCCAAAGGGCTTCCTAGAGTTGGCTTTCAGCATGCAGCAAGCATGATTCTTTAGCACCCTTGCCATGGCTGTGGATATGCTTGGGCTAAACGTTAGCTCAAGGTCATATTGATGCAGGTGATTTGGCTGAAAGCTCATGCAAGCTAGCACCTCCTGTTCAGTTAACCCCTGATTTTCTCGGAAGAACTGTGCCAAAGTGGCGGGCAGGGAATAAGGACGCCATCACCAAAGCAAACACCGACTGAAGTTGGTTCAGTCTAGTTAGCAGTTGGCTTATTGAGGTACCGTTCAGCAAAAGATTGGCAAAGCGCGAGACAAACGTTTCTAAAGCCATCCACCAAACCTTCGACTAGAAAGAGCAAAGTTGAGAAAAGAAAGCCGTGCGCCGTGCGCGCAGAACATCCTGCTGAAGTTGCGGCAGCATCGCATCAATGCGAGATGCTAGGCTGCAGTGTTGGGCCGAAATAGGAGCGTCACAAGGGGTTTGCTCGGCCCTCCATGATGTCCCATTTAAGAACGGATCAACACAGTTCTCCCGCAGGTCGGATCCTGACTGCCTTCCCGGCAAAGCGCCAAGGCTTCTTCTATACCTTTGCTCCGGGCCATTGGATGCGCATGCCGGAACGGATAGAGCAGCCAGAGCACCTGACAAGGTCACGTTCGCCAACGAAGATGAAGCATGGCAGAGGAGAGCGGAGGAGTTGATCCTCAATATCTGTGATGAGTTGTGATGATCTGGCATGACATAAAAGGTTTGCACTTGGGGTGACGGACAAGGTGTGCTAGGAACCTTGAATCTGTTTAGTTTCAAAACAGCTCCTTCACATTAGTGTTGTAGCCATCTTTGTGCTGTCAGGTTCTTGAAATCATGGGTTTCTTCCTTCTTCACAATGAAGACCACCTTCCTTCATTCACCTCCTTTTTGTTGCAAGCAAGCCAAGTCGCCTCCTCGTGTGCTTCGCCCAAGCGAGGGACGGTGTCGTTGGGTCGCCGCCCCGAGGCTTTATAGCTCGATTCCTCGCCGCCAGAGCCCGCAGAGCCCGCAGCCACAGCTCTATCGAGAGTTGTCGGAGAGGCGCTTTTTTCGCACCCAAAGGGACCGGTCTTCACGGAACCCGCGCGGCGACGCGCGAACGCGCGGGGGTGGAAGCACCTGAGAGGAGGACAGAGTGAAGTATCGGCTGGGGATTAAAGGTTCTGTCACAAGACGGCGAGCTGGTTGGAGATTCGTCACATTCGTTTGGTCCCCGAATTATCATGCCTTTGTGAATAAAGCACTGGGGTCCGGTCTATCTTCAACTGTTCGGCAAGCTGACGGACAAGTGAAAGTCGTACAATTGTGTTTTGTCAATAAAGCAGTGAAACCCAAGTTTCGTGGTTGTATGACCCTGGTGGCGAAATGTCTAATCAATCCACTGATCCGAAACATTCGAGCGACTTTGTGCGGGATGTTCCAACCTGCTTTCCGACCTCGCTCTTAGGTTGGAGGCCATCGCTATTAGAAACAAGAAGCTACTAGGGGTCTATCAAGAAAGGTCTAGAGTACCGTCTTGCTACTAGTAGGAATGGCCTCCACCCTAGTAGCGATGCCCTTGTTCCTAGTATCGTCCTTGCTCCTACTAGCGATCCCAGGAGCCCCTAATAACGTCCTTGCTCCTAGTAGCGATGCCAGGAGCCCCTAGTAGCCTCCTTGTCCAACCTGTCGAGCTGGAGAATGCTCCCTTCCCGGTTGCAGGCCGCGAATTCCTTCGTATAGCTCGCCGCTGAACGCGCAGCTGAACGCGCAGATGGCGCGAGCAAGGGAGATTTCTCCAGGCCGAAGCTCTCGGTGCATAGGAGTCAGAAGCAAGCGCACAAGTCCATACAAAGCGTGAGCAAGAAGTGAACCTCCCTTTAAATTGCTTGAAGGTGTACCGAAGGCCTTGTCTACTTGCAACTACTGGATTTTGGGGCCTCCATGTATGTATATACAAATATATATCATTGAACGTCTCTCTAGGAAACTAATGTCGTCGCTCTCCAGGGCGCTGTTGCTAAAGCTTTCATCATGTGATAGGACTACCGGGTCCCATATCGGATCAAATAACTTCCAAGCTTTGGAAGTTTTGGGTTCATATTAATCACTGCTTTGCTTCCTCATTTGAAGGTTGGGCTGCTTCGCTATTGAAAATATGCATTGCACAGGTTGGAGGAACCTGCAATCAATGGAGGATAACAAGTGTCTTGCAATCTATGTAGCCGCAAATCACATTTTGAGCATCTCTATGAAGTCATAACAGTCCAGAAACCTCTCCAAAGAAAGTTCGCGCTTCATTTAGGTGATTAGGCAGGTGTTACTCTCCAGCTGAAGCATGGATGTCAAGGCTCAGACACAAACACCATGTTCGTTCCTGTTCAACAATTGGGACACGTTTTGAAAGGGGAAACTCACAAGGTTCCCTGCAGGGTGTGGGACTTCTGCGCCTGAAATCACTGATGGTAAACAACACCATGAAACCTCTTGGTTTTTGTCCATGTTGCGGAATGTGCCAGGGCATTTGCAGGCTTTCTGGCATTTGTTGAAAACCACAAACATCCATTTAGCATGTTTGCGCCTGCTGTCCTGTATTGAATATGTCATTCTGCTTAATTGGATGAAGCAGAAGAACCTTTTTTGGAATCTGCTTGCTGGGGGCTCTGGGCAAGTCTTTGTTTGGATTCCTTCATGCAACCATAGAGCGCTACACAGAGTCTATTTTGTAGCTACCATAGAGCGCTACAAAGTCGCGTGTCCGTCCTCGCAGCGGACGTGCCAGTGCGAAGCTACATGCCAACGAAGCGTCGAAATTCCTTGCAGCATCCTCAATCTGCTCGCTCCTTTGTTCCGATCAATGCCGGGATGCCCAGAAAAAGAAAAAACCAAAGGAGACGCCAAAGGAGACGCCGTTGGGCGCCAGACACCGGGTGGTTGGAAGACGCCGTCCTTTTTCTGATGGTTTCCTGCCAAGGGGGGAGAAGCCATCTGCGAAGCCATCTGGGTAGGGAACCATCGCGCCATCGCCATCGCTTTGGCGAAACCTTCGCCGCCGAGTCTCTGGGTCCACGGGACCAAAGGCATCGCCCCAAAAGCGATGGCGACGTTGGAAGAACGTCGGCACCGGTCCGATCGGGCTGCGACCTCCGGGATGGCCAATGTGTTCTTCAAGCAGCACACCAACTACACAATCTATCAGCTGCACCCTACTAGGGATGGCCTCCACCCTAGCGATGGCCTCTCTGTGAAGAAGATCCTTCAAGACAAAAGGGTTCCGAAGAAAAGCAAGTCCTGCGTTTGCGTCTTGAGTGCCAACGATACCGATGGGTCTACACCTCCGAAAACGTTCGAGGTCTTTGGCGCGAGCATGCGCTTGCCAGCGCATCAGACCGTTGTGGTGACGTAGGCTGAACTGTGAGCAGACTTGGGGGCAGGGCAGAAGATTGGATGTTCACCCAAAGAAGTGGAAAAGGCACTAGTAGCTTCTTGTTACTAGTAGTAAGGCCAGCTACTAGTAGCGTCCTTGCTCCTAGTAGTGATGCCCTTTGTTCCTAGTAGTTTCTTGTTCCTAAAGAGTTGAAAATGCAGAAACCAGTGTGAGTTTTATACCTCACAGTGATCAGACATGTCTCGCCGGCTGGAGCTGGCCAGAAATGATGTTTACAAACCCTACCGGGAGTCCAGACCCACAGGTGGAAAATGGAAACACATGGCTTGGTTGGACCAAAGATCATCTCAGTTGGAAGTTTAGGCTCGTTTTCAAAGGACCGTGGAAATCTGACAAAAGGATACAAAGGGGGATCACTTCATTAATATGTGCGATGTTCATGTCAAGTCAGCACATATGCCCCTGCCCGTTGCGTATGTTAGAGGCCTTTGGTCCGTTCCTGGCAGGCATTGGCCTTCAGACCCATCGGATGCACCCAGTGAGATTCATCCTGGCGATACAAAGCGTTTCAATACCATCCGCCTGTCGTGAAATGAATTTACTATAAACAACTACTGGGGTAGACACCCGAGTCAACGTTGCAGACGTTCCATATTTGTTCAAACGAACATCGATAGCGAGGACCCTTTGTTCCAGAAAGTGGGCTGTCTCGGACCGTAGGTCCGAGACAGGAAGTGTCGCCAGCGACAGGAAAAAATGCTCCGTGCAGTCTTTTGGCACGGAGAGTAGCAGAGAGGCTTTAAGTACCGACCAGTGGCAGCCACCCATGGCCTCTCTATGAGTTTCGACGGCTTCAGTATATTTCAGTGCAGTCTTTTGGAGTGTCTTATTTCTTGATCGCTTGGTATCGCCTGGTATCGCACCTGGTTCTTCTTTCATGTCGTTTCTTTGGACCTGGATGAGCTGCTCAGTCGCTAGCCGCTAGTCTCTTTGTAGGTCAGTAGTTAGGTTCACCTCAGCTCGCCCAAACGAAGTGTTGGCGTGGAGTTGGATGGCGAGTTCTGGTGCACAACAAGAGACCGAGCCTCGTTCACGCGTCTCAGGATCGTCTCTCCTCGTTCTGTGACATGAATCCATGTTCTGACATCGTTTCTTTTTTACTTTTGTTTACGTACCTAGTAGGATGTGTTCCCTTATTAGTAACAGCCGGCAAAAGATTCTCACTCTTTGGGGGAAAAAAGCCTTTACAACTTACCATCATCATCCACGGGGCCCGGGGTTGTTCATGCTGCCTGAAAACAGCGCAAACAGGTTGGGTGAGGACGGTGAGGGTTGGGTGGGAGAGGCGCGAAGCTTGGACGGTTTTCACATCGATTCACTGCCGGTTTTCACAGCTAGCTGGTGATAGCGAAAGTAGCGATGCACCTGTTACTACTAGCTTCTTGTTACTACTAGTAAGGCACTTGTTACTAGAAGCGATGCACTTGTTCCTAGTCAAAGCAAATGAGATTCGCCAGTTTGTGCACCAGCTCATGTGTTACACAAATTCTAATCATAAAGCATCTTTTGAAGATTTTCAGCCGCTTGGACAGGCTCGCGATGTCGGTCCAACTTGCTTTTTCCTGCGTTTTGGGGTGACCTGTGATTATACAAAAGGGGCAACGGCTTCACTGAAATATACTGCCATATAGGTACTCTTTTGTTGGGCATGTTGGAATCACGGTCTCCGACCGGTTTCCAAACTTTCGACCACTGATAGCTTTTGTGTGAGATGAACCTCCAAATCGGTAGATGCAAGGGATCTACAACTCATCCCTTGGCTTTGAGGGTGAGTCACGTCAAGAAGCTGAGCTATACTTTCAGAAGAACTGTGCTTCGAGAAACTGTGCTTTGAGTGGAACATCGCAACCTCCAAACGGCGGCAACGAAGGCGATTCGTGCGCAGAGCACAATGTAAAGATCCGTGCGACACCTGCGGAATTCTCCTGGAAGGACTTGTTGCAGGCCTCGTTCGACCAATCTTTGAACGGCCGACGAGCAGACACGGATGGCTCCAAGAGTACTTTCGGTCTCCGACCATCCGAATTTCAATTGCTCCGAACCGGCTTGGGACCACACGTGCTCGAAGGGCACATTTTGTCCAAGCAACTGACATGCTCAGGCCAAGATCTGAGGGTATTTGGGCGCCTTCAATACCTTCCAAATTGGAGGCCATCGCTGTTAGTGTTGTTTTCCAAAATGCATGGGATTCAGGTGGTTGCCCAGCGCATTGCATCCACTTAAAATGTTTTTGGGCGATGCCCTTTGTTCCTAGTAGCGCCCTTGTTCCTAGTAAGGCCAGGAGTGCCCCTACTAGCGTACTTGCTCCTAGTAGCGATGCCCTTTGTTACTAGTAGCTTCTTGTGACCACCCAGAAATCCTTCTTCTCAGAAGGTGTCTTTGTCAACCCTTGGGCTTTGGCGATTAGTGGACAGGGTGCATCCATGTCCAGTTGTCGAGTTGCACAGATTGTGGGGAAAAATGTGGAGATCTGGTGAGGGACGCTTGGTGAGGGATGCGATGAGACTGGAAAGCCACATTCTTTTTGTGCTGACTTTGGACTTTTGCAGAGGTTTTTCCTATTGATTCCCTGATGGAAATAGATTGGGTGTGTTTCAATGTTGAACTATGGTTCCACTTCAGCCCGCCTAGTCACACACTCCAAAAGATTCTCAGCTGCAGAACCGAAGCTGGCGCCGGCGCACCTCGCGGTGTTGGCCGTCGACGGATGGCCGGCATGAGAAACCATGGGTGCTTCGCGTCGGTCGAGGAGAGCAGAGATCCGTCGAACACTGCTGTATGGTAAAGATGCGTTCGACTTCTTGGTTGAAATTGAATGCTTAATGATGTGATTCTTTCTTGTTGTCTACGGTGTGAATGACCAAAGCCACCAATGTTTTTGCGGAGGGCGAAAGCCGCCTGGATGGCCCTTGTTGACGCACCAAGGACAGAATCTCCCAACGAAGGTTCCGGCCAGGGACCAAACCGGGATCAGAGTGGGGGCAGTGGGATGAGACACGAGTCCTGCAGCCGCTTCGGGGAGTGAGTGAGTGAGTGTTTTGCGAAGCTAAAACGGATAGAGTTTGATGACATGTTACACCTGCTTTCGTGACCGAAATGAGGGATGAAAAGAGGATTGGAAGAGCACTATTGAACCGTGAACAGGATGGTTTTCTGCTAATAGGAGAGGATGTTGCTTGTTTCGTTTTGACACGTGGGTCACTCAAAACATAAAGAGCTCCATGGTGATTTCCAAGAAGGCCTTGTAGTGGGAGAAGCTGGCTCAGATACATCCAGATGCTAGAGGTAGAATCTTTTGGGACATGAGAAACTACTCCAGAATATAGGCTTTCCAAGAGAGGAAGAACACTAGCTGGGTAAAAGCTTCGTCAGGCCCAAAATGGCTGACAAGCGCGCAGGCTGTCAATCTCCAAGGCCCTTCTCAGTTCTGGAATTCATCATTTGGATTCATTTCCTGAAGTTGTGCAATAATTCTCCGGGGGTTGATTCATTGACTCGCCAGAGGGTGGATTCATTCTACAACGGAGGTAGGGGGGAAGCAGCTCTCCGACTGCGCATTGTTTGTGCTGGCTCTACCAAAGCGCCGAAGAAAACAAAGCAACAGTTACTCAATAGAGGTGTTACGTGGATGATAGAACGATAAAAGAAATGAAAACAGATCAGTCAGATGCCCAATCGATTTTGGCTGCGCTGCCAAACGCACCTACAACGTACACTATTCGGAGTTGCAAACTGGCTAAATAAATCTAGGGGTATGTAAGTAGTGAGCCACCCTATCAAGGTATTTTCCAAACACAATTTTCATTACTAAAATTGTGCAGATGAATGAGGTCAAGGCCCTCCTGGTCTTTCAACTCAATTTCTGGCTGAGTGCTGAATGTTTCTTGCAAGCACTCAAACCCCTCTGATGATTTTGCTTGAATTTCTGAATCCAGCACCGGAGCAGATTAGATAGTCGAAGTACGCGATGTGTAAAATGAATGAATCCGAGGTAGAGGGGTAGAGCCCTTAAGGGTACAGGGCATGTTTCTTTCGCCTGAGGCCTCGTATAGCGAAGGATCGTCGTCCATGGCCCTGGTGGAACAGTGCAGAGTCAGAGGGTGCCCGGGCTTGTTCTACCAATCAAGGATGGTTTTGAACATGGCTGACAGAGACACGAATGAGACCCATGAGATTTGGCAGTTGTAGACATAGATTTTTGGCACATGGCTTGCCTTTTGCAGTCCAATCGACTTCAAATTCAAGAATTGATGCGTTGATGTGATTTGAAGATTGGTAGGAGATTGTGGGCTCGAATTTCTGCATATGATGTGGTGGGATGGGGGATGGCCTTGTACATATGATTTGGGTACCAACATATGACAAGGCGTTGCCCCCCTTTCAACCCATGATGTCAATTTGTGAACTCATTGGCTAAGAAGTGCTCGTCTTGCAAAGTCCAAAGCGATCACATGCCTCTTTTTGGAAGGATACAAAGGCCAGCACTTTGACATGGGTGAAAGCTCTCCAGGCAATTTGCGGGCTTCGATTTGCATCATGATGTGAACATTCTACAACGCATTTGGACATGACGTCTCAAGCTCAATTTGGAGGTACGTCCCTTATGTAGCGGGGTCCCCTCACTGTTTGAACGGGGTGGTCTTTGATTTGAGGGGCAGCTGCTTCAAAGAAAGTATACAGTCCACTCCGAACCAATTTCGGAGAATGGGTTCCGTTTCGCCATGGGATTCAGAATGTGGTCCAGGTGATTCAGCATTTACTGATTATTTGATGTTATGAACGTTGTAATGCTTGAATGTCATTCAACTTGGACAGCTGTAGTTGTCGCCGTGTAACACAGAAAGCTACACATTTGCGCGGCTTCACGCGAATCGGACACATCTCCCTTGATCCAAGAAGCATTGTGAAACCCAACTTCATTTGTGGCAGCAGCTTTAGTGAGCTCACAAAAATGGTCCCCATTTAAAATAGAACCACTCGTTGCACATGCGGAAAGAAGCAAACCTAGCCAAACTTTGAAACACTTTGAAAGGAACGGTGGATATGGAATGCGGTTTGAAGGCTCGTCCTCCACTCCGAGTCCAAGGTCCTCCAATGGCCTCAGTGTTGGCGTGAAAGCTTTGCTGGATGGCCTGGGTTCGGGCTGCCCAGACATCGATGAGAGGCCTCCGAGCAAGGCCAAGCCCGAACGTAACAAGGACGATACTAGGGACTCCTGGCCGTACTACTAGGAACAATGTTTGCTATTAGAAACAATAAATAGATGTGTAATTGATTTAAATCCAATTTGAATGTGATTAGAATTAAAACTAGAAGCTACTAGAACCTTTTCGCGCGCGCGCGCGAAGATGGCAACGGTGTATTTAAGAATGATGAGGCTTAAGAAAGTGGAAGATGTCCCCACCACACAAGACTAGGAAAGACTCGATTTCGCAACGCGGTCATCCTGAAGGTGCCGCCCTGAAACCCCGCCCCGTATTTGCTCCCACGGACCAAGGTCGAGGCCTTTCGGGTATGGTTCGCTGGGCCA